ATAGCCTAGTAGCTGGGACAACTTCTTTATGTTTACAGACGTGACGTAATGACGCAGTGCCAAGCTCAAATTTCCCGCGAAAACCTACCTGTATCACTCAAATTAGAAAACATTATTATAAGCTAACCGTTGTGAATCGGGCTAAAGTAAGGCGATAGTTTTGAAGACTGGCTGGCTATGTACTTGCTCAAATATTGATTTCGGATCATTTTTAACCAAAAAAAGTTACGGACTGCAGCTTTAAGAATATGCTCACAAAGACTGAACATATCTATTTACCTGTATAACACAAACACTTCTGCAAAATACAAATAACTTCACAGGTAGGCTATAATAAACATTTTCTGGGTAATATGTACAATACTTTTTCAACAAAGTTGGATGCAAAAATGACGATTTATTTCTGTCGCTGACAGAAACACAAGTAATCCAGAATATTATATTTAGACAGGCTCTGCTTCTCGAACTCTGATTGGTCGAATTTAACCCCTCCTTAGCAACGCGCATTTGTGTGGTGGTGCGGCACGTGGTTACTAGGCAATGTCCCTTTAACTTTTACCGTGTTTTAAGTTTCTAGCTATGGCATAACGTGCACGGAAACGCTATAAATGCAAAAGTTCACGGAAAACTGAAGGACAGGAACATACATGAGATTGAACTGTTAGAAAAAATATCATGTTTGTAAGCCACTTTGCGCTCGGAAGAGATTTAGAGGATTTGCCGTCTATATTCGACACACAAGAGCTTATGGGACACAGAAGTGGGTTATAGCAGGACTGTGTTTACTTCTGTGTATAAAACGGATTTATTTTTAAATACATTTATTTTCAAACTGCCGGAACATAACAAAACCCTTTGGAACGAAACGGAACGCGTGGAAATATTAATAACATCCTGAAGTTTCAGTATTTGATCAAATGGGAGACTGCAATGAGCTGCTCGGAGCGTCTGAGTTTATCAAAGGTAATATTAAATAAGTTTAAAAAGTTAAAAAATAGTTATATCGTTTATATAAAATAAAGGTTGCAAGGCAACCTATTTTCTAATCTGCTCAATCCATGTGTAAATGTCTCATCACAAAAATATCCTAGCATATGTTGCACTCTATAATAAAGTTCATGAATGTCATTACTGTAAAAACTATAGCCTATATAATGCTTAACATATCAGTTTAAAGTGTCTTGCCATTTTGAATGTTCATTAACTAATAATATGTTATGTAAACATTTTGTTAATTTTGCTAATTAAATTAATTGTACATTTTACCTTATATTTAGCCTTATATTTTACCTTATATTACCATTATTTCCTTTATTTTACTTGTATACTGTTGTATTTTCTTTCAGATCGTCTGTATTTTGCTACTCTTAGAAGCAAACCCAAGAGCACAGCAAACACACATTTCTTCTGCACAGATGAGGAATTTATATATGAAAAGTGAGTCCTCAGTTTTTTGGTTGTTATAGCTCATTTTTGATTGTTCAACTTCATGACAAGTTGTGATTTTATGGTTCATTTCTGTTTTAAGCTTTTATGCAGATTTTGGGCCCCTCAATCTGGCAATGCTGTACAGATACTGCTGCAAACTGAACAAAAAACTAAAGGTAAGATCATCTTCTTCGAATCAAATGGCTCCATGTATGCACTGTGTGTTATATTCCCAAGGATTTCCTCAGAAATTCATATCTGACTTACTGATCAAATATACATTTTGTGTTTTTCATTTTTATCTTTGGACTGATTCTTAATCATTGGGAAGAGCTTTTTAGTTACTAAACAAAGTAATTTGTTTGCCTAACTTGCTGAACCAGGTTTTCTAGAAATAAAAGTCAAAATTCCATAATGCAGCTCTTTGATATACATATAAATATATAAGAATAAATGAATACTTGAAAATGCTTTTCCTGGAAAACCACAAAGGCTAATTCCCTGCAAATATATGGAGGTTAAGTCCGGGCCCAGCATTACAAAGTAAATGAAAATGACCATTAATAGTTCAGTTTTGTAAAGCCGTAATATGTGCTCTCATCTGTTCACCATCAGCAACCTTGCGGTTTTAATATTTATAATGCTCATTTATAAAGTTCTTTTACCTTGTTCCTGCAGTGAGCAGTAGAGAGCGCTCTATTACTGTGAGTTATATGTCTGTATAATGACGGGACAGAAGTTTCTGGCATGAATGATTGAACTTCAGTGACTGTCTTTGTATCTGGAGCTGACAGATTAAGGGGCCTGGCTGATGTTTCTCTGTAGTATATGTGTGAAGTGAGTTAAAACATTATCTGGACATCTACACTCTTAAGAAAAATCTGTAAAAACTCCAATGTACTGTGTTAGGGAATTGTATTTGTCATCATTTTTCTCAGGTGCTTTAACTGCATTTTGAATTATGCATTGCTTTGTGTGTTGTGTTTTAAGGTTTAAAGGGGTCATATGATGCGATTTCAATTTTTCCTTTCTCTTTGGAATGTTACAAGCTTTTGGTGCATAAAGAAGATCTGTAAAGTTGCAAAGACTAAAGTCTCAAATCCAAGGAGATATTCTTTATAAAAGTTAAGAGTCAACCACGCCTACCTAAAACGGCTCGTTCTAACCGAGCGGCAACCTCCCCGCTCTCTCTGTGAAGCCAACAAGGAAGTGACTTAAACTGCAATTCATCGACTGGCCGCTAGAGGCTGGCTGCAAAAGGGAGTCAATCCCATAGACTCCCCATGTTAGAAATTCTTGTCTTCCAGTGTAAGCCGCACATAAAATGTCAGTTATAGCCTAGTAATGGTACAAATTGTGGAACTAAAATAACTTGCATTTGGCCCTGAATCTTTGTATGAATAATTAGCAATTTGTAATAATTAAATAACAACAAAACTCAAATGTATTTAATTGGCTTAAATCTAATTCTATGTAACAAAAGGTATAAAAGGAACAGTTCACCAAAATACGAAAATTCTGTCATCAATTACTCATGTCATTGCAAACCTGTCTGCCTTTCTTTCTTCCATCAATCATGAAAGGAGTTGTTATAGAGTGCTGCAGTGATGACGTGTTTTTGTAGGCCAACACTGAAGTTAGCAGCATCACCCTGGTTCCCTCCACAAAAACCCAATAGGATTTTACTATTAGCTTTTGGATTACTGCAGAAAATAAACTCTGTTACCAACAAAAGTTTACATTTCTTACATGTTTTGTTCATCATGATAATCTTCACAAATGAACGCAACGTTTATGAATTTTGAAGCCTAAATACCATCGCCAGAAGTAAAAAGCAAATGTAGACTATAAACGAACCCCATGTTGCATTACTTCAATTTCACCACCATTAAGCTCAGCTCTTTCAGTCTTTATTTAAAAACATTTTCCCTAAAAGTTTGTTAGAAGGGACAAACAGTAAAAGCTTTAAAAACACACACACACAAGGGGGTATTACTGATGTATTTTTTGTTATAAAACGTGGAAATATCTTGAGCTTGCGTTAACCACAGACTTTATTTCAATATTTATTGAAAATATTTCACTGTACCAACCTGCTTTTATGGACACACGATTGACAGTATAATCAGTCATTCTGCTTTCTGCACATTTGACGCAGCCTTTCTCGGCCACGTTCATTTAATCCTAATGTACTATTATCAAACTTCCTGGGAGGGAGGGGGTGCACCGGGCCCCGCATCAGCTAAGGATGGCCCTGCTGCATGACAGAAATTGCTGTCACTGTATAACAGTGGTCAAACATTGAAACTAAAGCCCTAAATCCTTCTAAAGATATACAGTAGTTTGTTGAGACTACACAAGATTCTCATGGTAATAGTGTGCAGTGAATATAAACAACAACAACCAGGACCACTGACAACCTTTGAAGTTATCTACATTAGACAACAACGTGTTGTTCTTCTCGCAACAACCTCACTCTGGACTGCACAGTGGGTGCGGCCAAACTATTGCGCCAAGCGTGAGAGTGACTAATAGAAACAGGTCTTTCATTTTGGTGCATAGTTACTGCCTACTGAGATGCAGCTTCACTCGCAAGCAAAACTTTTCAACTACAAGCAAAGAATTCAGACCCGCAAAAAAAGACAGCAGAACAGAGAGCAAAATAAATGGGTGCGTAATGAAAAGTGTGGGATCTGCATAGAATATTTATTTGCATTGCAAAGAGTTTTATTATGAATTGCTTTATTTTTGTAATTTTAAAATTGTTATTCTCTAAATTATTTGCAATCTTTTATTTTTCAATGAAAATATAATTAGTTTTGCTCTCAAACACAGTATGTTTGATTGAATAAAAAAGACACAAAAATAGCTCCATAAACTTTGTTAAAATTAACCCATGCAGTCAAAAAACTCATTGACTTCAGGATGATTGAAGCTGATTGGTTGGACAATCTGAACATGTTCCTTCCGAACTTTGTTACAAATAAACTAACGCATTCAAAAAACTCATTGACATCAGGATGATTGAAGCTGATTGGTTGAAAGATCTGAACATGTTCCTTCCGAACTTTGTTAAAAATAAACTTGACCAAAAACCAATTTTAAAAAAACATTTGACTTCAGGACAATTGAACTGAAACTCTGGGGTTTTTCTGGGTTTTGTCTATAGTCATCCCTGCAGCACTCACAGGCAGAATGTCCTACACATTTTCATACAGTCAATTGTGAAGTGGCTGTCAAGCTCCAAAAGTTACATAAAGGCACCATGAAAGTACTACAGCAGCAGTCCATATGCATCATGCACTATATTCTAAGAGTTCTCAAACAATACAGTATTTTCTGTGAGGAACAGAATTAGGTCATTACTCACCAAACTTCTGTTTTTCATTTATTTAATTTAAATAAGTGTAAGTTCACACTTGGCACATTATTGTATGAAAAGCAGCATTGACATTCTACCTTAATTCTCCTTTTGTGTTTCTTAAAAAAAAAGAAATTTATACAGGTTTGGAACAAATGAGGTTGAATAAATGATGACAGAATTTTCATTTTTGGATGAACGATCTCTTCAACCAGCACAGCTCTGAAAATGAATGTGTGTTGTGTATGTCTGCAGTCTTTCACTCTGTCCAGAAAGCGCATCATCCATTACACCAGTTACGACCAACGAAAGAGAGCCAATGCAGCCTTCCTCATCGGTGCTTATGCGGTGAGTCCAGCTCTGTTTCTAGGACCTTAGAAGAGGACAATTTTGTTGATTTGAACCCTCCTGTTCTAGGGTTTGAGAGATCCCAGACAGTAAGAACTAACTGATTATGAACAGCAAAAAACAACAAGAGCTATTTAGTCCCAATTGACCTCTTGTTTTAGAGTCTCTCAGAGAAATTTCTAGTCATGATGTCTCGCTTCTGTATGCAGGTAATCTACTTAAAAAGAACTCCAGAGGAGGTGTACCGGGCCCTGATCTCTGGAACCAATGTGTCATACCTGCCCTTCAGGTGAGAAGCTGCTCACACAGTCTTACACAAACTTTTGAATGGTATTGTAGGTCATTTTATGGTAGCATTGCACACACACACAGAGATGTGTAATCATACATTCTATAATTTTTTTAATGAACATACTTCATCATCTATTTACTTTTTTTTATCTATATAGAGATGCTGCTTTTGGGAACTGCACATATGATTTAACCATATTAGACTGTTTACAAGGAATCCGTAAGGTACGTGTGTTAAAGGGAAGCATTTTCCATAAAAGCAACATCCATTTTAACTATTAATATTTAGGAAGGTTAAAGTTTGTGACATTCTTGAACAATTTTTGGATCAAGTCTGGACAGTGTAGACGTGTAATGCACTTTATCCCCAGAACAAAAGCTCTTAGTCCAGTTATATGTCTTTTCATTCTGACACGGGAGAAAGAATTGGCACAGGCACTATCAAATGGATTACATAAAGGACATGCCACACAATGTGATAACTGAGGAACAGGAAGCTTAATACAAAGAAGGTAGTTTGTGTGGGTGGAGATTTTCTGGAAAGTTGTCTGGCAGGAAAGAAAAGCACTTAAAATGGCAGTGAGATATTACGCAGCTTGGATGGCTGTGCTTGCAATTGACACATGATTTGAGTAAATGGTGTTGAAGAGAACCTTGGTTTGTTTAGTTTGTCCTTTTAAGCATCAAGGATTTATCGAAAATTAATTTATGCATAATAGGCTCTTTTGAAGATGTTTCCTTAAAACCATTTAGATTTCTATTATGTTAGTAAAGTGAGTAAAAGTCCAAAATTCATAATTTGCCTTTATTTAATGAAATGTTATCTTATTCTTAATTATTCTTAATTAATTTTTCAGGCCTTGCAGCATGGGTTTTTTGACTTTGAGAATTTTGATGTTGAAGAATATGAACATTATGAGGTATCACTTCTTTATATATTCATATTTTTTGTACATTTAAAATTGCATAACTGTCATAGCATTCAATATCGAATATCAAACCAAGTGGCTTTTATTTTAAAGAAAGAGAGTACACTTTTCAAGCAAAACATTTAACAAAAAATATATGATAAATTATAAAGTTCTGGAAACTTTCTGTTTGTCAAATGTCAGTGTATCATTGCTCATTGTTAAAGTGATGAACTTCACCTGTGGTTACTCTGATATAAAACCTGGGTGAACTTGAGGAGAACTGATTTTACTGGTTAAAAGTCATTGCAAAAATACCAGTTGGTTTGATATTATGTCATCTAATGTAGTACATTTAACAAATAAGTGTTTCTTAACTGTCCATTCATTTTGGGGATACTGTCTATCCATCTTTTCCCTGTGCCCGATGATGCTTGAATTGCATGAATTATGGGAATAACTTCTGGTAAACCCGAAAAAAAAAATCAGCAAAAGTTTTGCTTTATAAACGAAATAAGCATTTCTTTTTTAAAACTGGGTACGATGAGCTGTGATTTCCGTCATTTTGACAGATAACAAATATTGTATTTACCTGCTTTAGAAACATTCCAGTAAACACTATAGGCATGATGCTTGAATTGCATGAATTATGGGAATAACTTCTGGTAAACCCGGAAAAAAAAAATCAGCAAAAGTTTTGCTTTATAAACGAAATAAGCATTTCTTTTTTAAAACTGGGTACGATGAGCTGTGATTTCCGTCATTTTGACAGATAACAAATATTGTATTTACCTGCTTTAGAAACATTCCAGTAAACACTATAGGAATTAGAAGTGAAAAGGGAGACAATTACATTTTAAAGCATCCGTGTGAAAACAAACCTGGAAAGAGACGTGAGAATTTGGATTCAAAAACAGAGACTCTGCATTTAGTGAATTATTCATGGAACATATCATAAATTAAATTGGGAGAGCAGAGCACAGTTGTACAGTAGATGTTGTCTTTTTCATATTGTTACAGAGGAAAAAAATAATCAGGAGGAGAAGAATGCAGCGGACTGAAAAGAGCTCTTGCAATAGATATTCTTGTTACACCATGTCCCATTAAAATACCAAGCATTATGTTATTCTCCAGATGCCTGAAAATAGAACATGGAGGGAAATGTACAGCTCATTCAGTCAATCTGATGGATAAGGATTATTTGTAGTGCAACTTTATGATTTGAAATTTTTTTTTTTCAGTCTTTTTGAGTCCTATTGTAACTACTTAGAAGCAATAAAGCAGCCATAAAACTCAACACATGTAACTTCTTTTCATTTAGCAGTTGTTATCATTTTAGCATATTTTCTCACCTTTTGCATTACAAGCGTGTAGAAAATGGAGATTTTAACTGGATTGTGCCAGGAAAACTGTTGGCCTTCAGCGGACCTCATCCCAAGAGCAAAATAGAGAATGGTAAGCTGGCACATTAGATTTGCCCCTAAAAGCTATTGCCGCAACAAATAACAATCTAGTGGTTATTGAGTCAGTGTGTTACCCTGTTGGTATATGTTCTTTATTCAACAGTAGTTGTTTCCTAAAACTCTGTTAAACTGAACATCATTTGCTACAAGTACAGGAAAACATTGAAAATGACTTGTCACACCATTTAATCAGTGGTGATTAAACCATTTTTATCAACAAAGTACTCAAGGGGGCAATGGAGGTATGTTAAAATGTCTTTGCCATTAAAGGGGTTGTGCTATTAATCAGATTAATCAGCTTGATAACATACCAACTTTCACCAACTTGCAGGCAAGATAATCTTCAAACTGTTGCACAACAATAAGAGAAAAAACTGACTGTAGTTTTTGTGCTTTAGTGCCCCTCATGGCAACAATGAGAATCTCTTACTGAGTGGACTGAATTCACTTCTGAACTGATGACTATTTTGGCTCTTTCAGGTTATCCACTCCACGCTCCAGAAGCATACTTTTCCTACTTTCGCCAGCACAATGTTACAGATGTTGTGCGACTGAACAAGAAGATTTATGAAGGTCAGCGCTTCACAGATGCCGGGTTTGAACATCACAACTTGTTCTTTGAAGACGGCACCACGCCTAGTGATCTCCTCACAAGACGCTTTCTGCACATCTGTGAAAGCGCCAAGGGTGCCGTAGCTGTCCACTGCAAGGGTGAGACACTTCCCAAATTTATGAAGAAACAGCATCTTGTTTTTTTTCTCCATCTAAATAAGGTGCACTATTGCATTATTAAAAAGTGGAGTAGAGACATTGTATGATCCTGCAATTTTTGTAAAGTGTAATGCAGGACGCAGAATTTATGTTGCAATATACTGTATATATACAGTATATATATATATATACTGAACAAAATTATAAACGCAACACTTTTGTTTTTGCCCCCATATTTCATGAGCTGAACTCCAAGATCTAAGACTTTTTCTATGTACACAAAAGGCCTATTTCTCTCAAATATTGTTCACCCAACCAAAATGGTACACTTAGCCAGCACTGGTCCGACAATGGGTACTGAAACTGAGCCGACACTGGGTCACAATCATGTCGACACCTAGCCAGTACTAGTCTTGTTCGCTAAATAAAATTTAAAAAAAACATATATACTGTATATATA